CAAAATTCCACATTTGCTACTGTGTACGGTAACTTTGTCCTTCCTCAGGTGTTAAAAAGTGACACGCTGAGAGGTTGAGAACTGCCTGTGGCACATGTTCCCATGGATATCCCTTTCGGAGTCCTGTAGCTCAGTGGTTAGAGCACTCGCTTTGCAAGCGAGAGACTTGAGTTCAATTCCAGGCAGAGGGCGAAACCTTGGGCAAGTTTCCTTACTCCACACAGAGCCTAATAATAATCCCTCCAAAACCAAAAACAATAATAAATTGGTCATTTTCAAGCTACGACTGTTTGTAGGACATTGCTGTGCACAATTGGCTGCCGCTTTCGCCCACAAACATACAGACAATTCACATTACAGTATATTCTGTGAAGCGCTTTGGGATGTCTAGAAGACGTGAAAAGCACTATATCAAATGCAAGGATTATTATTATTATTATTATTGCCTTCAGTGCCAGGGATAGTTTTCCATTGTTTTTCTCCATCACTATGTTTACTGTCTTCATTAGCTACAGCTGGATGAATTAGTTCAGCTTCATCAAACTGACAGCAAATGCAAAGGAAACATTGCCATTCCTCTCAAAGAAGCCTCAGGTATCGGACAAAGTACTCCAAAAAGCAGGTTTCAGTGGAAATCAGGAAGTCAAGAAGCACACAATGATCAAATGTCAAATTATTTAAAAGCAACAGGAAAATGCAATATGGATTGAAACAACTCTCATAATAAACATTATTAAAACAAATAATTCTATGTCAAGACACACCTGCAAGAAACATTACACTCCCAATGAGGCAAAAAAACTCCCTTATCACACTAAATAATAGTTACACAACATGGTTCTGAGGTCACTAGCAGCTCGTAAACATGAAGTCACTTGCAATAACAAGCAGATAACAAACCTCATTATAGTGTGAGTTGGTATTTGATGGATCTGGACAACTGTGTTATAATGGGGCTCCACTCCTATTTGAATCTTTGAAATGCCAAGAATGCCAAGTGCTACAAGGGAAGCATGCTGGTGTATCGTGGACAAATCAACTAGTTTGTTACAATTGTTCTGTTAACAGCAACACAATAGAAATACATTTCTGGAATACAGCTAATTTATAATGTGATTTTTTTGCATTTGTTATAGCGCCTTTCAATGTTGGGAGCGCGAATCACAGCAATTCATGGGATTTCTTGTGAAGTGCATTCACTCTGTATCATGTTGGCAATGTCAAGGTGCTATGATTAAAATATGATTGCAAATTGATGAAAAGTAGCGATGGAGCCATCAGAGGCCGGAACTTCCATCTCGTCTTAGCCTATAAGACCATTTTGTCTTGAAATTTAAGATTGTGCAGAATTGTGGAACATCTTCAGTTTTGTTTTCGTTTGGAAGTTGGTTTGTTTTAAAAACTGAGGTAATTTGACTTCTAAACTGATTCTGAGCCATATTAAATGATAAGGCAAAATAGCATCCTTGGCTAAGACAAAGTGAAATTTACAACATCTGGGGAACATACGGAGATTTACAAACAAACACAATCTGTATACTTTTAGTATATAATTTTCATGAGTTTGCTGAATCTGCAGAAATGTATGCAGACATATTTGTGCCAACAGTTTTAATGATTTGTGTCCAAAATTTCTCAACATACTCTCATATCTGGATCACGTAATAGTAAATATTATGCCATTGTATTTTGTAACATTAAGAGCATTACATGCAAACAACACTAAAGGTCAACAGAAAATGTGTTGCTACACAGTGAAACAGAAAGGGTAATGTGACGTGGCTTAGTTCCACTCATATCTTTGTCCATTAACTAACAAATGAAGCTTGGAATAGTATTAGGTAATATTGTTAGATAACAGCGTGAATTCTCTCTTAATCAGATTTTCAGTGTAGAATCATTTTTGGTGTTAATGTGTTGGTGAAATATCCCTTTGTGTACAAGTCTGCATGATTCTGTCTTTGAAATCTATGCAATTTTTTTTATCTATAGCAGAGTTTGATTGTATTGAACATCCTGTAGTTCAGTGGTTAGAGCAATCACCTCGCAAATGAGAGACCTGGGTTGATTCCAGGCAGGGCGAAATGTTGAGCAAGTTTCCTTACTTCACATGCTTCTGTTTACCTAGCAGTAAGTAGTAACCCCATCATAAGTCAATTAATGGATTGCTTTTCCGGCGATAATAAATTCTTCAAAAACAAAATTGACTTATACATTCAATTCACTTTACAATATAATCTGGGAAATCCTTTGAGACGTCTCATCAACAAGATAAGGCGCTATGTCATATGCAAGGACTATTATCATTATTATGTAATATAACATCAGTCATTTTTCAATCAAAATAGTTTCTGAAATATCTTAGCTGAGTCGGTAGCACTTTCACCTGTGGGTGAGAAAGTTGTAGATCAGAAGGTTGCAGGTCAAGCGACACATCAAGACTTGCACTGAATGTCTAGGCTGAAACTCTTGTGCTGAAGAGTGCTGCATTGATGGAAGTGCTGACTTCTGGATGAAGTAGTAAGTTGACTTTACGCATTTCTCGAAATAACTTTAAAATATTTAATGGACACAAGGGCCAGGCAAATCATGTCTAACAAACCTGATAGAGTTTTTTGATGAAGTAACGGAGAGGGTGGATGAAGGTAGTGCAGTTGATGTAGTTTATATGGATTTTCAAAGGCGTTTGATAAAGTGCCACATAAGAGACATGTAAGCAAAATAGAAGCCCATGGTATTAAAGGGACAGTGGCAGCCTGGATACAGAACTGGCTGGGAGACAGGAAGCAGAGAGTGGTGGCAAACAGTTGTTTTTCTGACTGGAGGGAAGTGTACAGTGGTGTCCCTCAGGGGTCACTACTGGGACAACTACTGTTTATTGATCTATATAAATGAACTGGACTTGGGTATAGGGAGTACAATTGCCAAGTTTGCAGATGATACTTGAGGGTGGAAGCAGAGTTTGGTATCATCCGCCTACATGTGGAAATTTACCCTGTGTCTGCGGATGATGTTATCAAGGGGGAGCATGTAGAGGGTGAAGAGGAGGGAACCGAGGACAGAGCCCTGAAAAACGCCGCACGAGTCAGTGCGGGGGCTGGAGGAGAAGTCGTTTGCCGAGACGAAGTGGAGGCTGTGTGAAATGTAGGACCTGAAACAGTCAAGGACAGAACCTTGGAGTTTGAGGTGGGAGGAGAGCCGGTGGGGCTGGTTATGCCTCAGCTAGAGTACGATGTTCAGTTCTGCACATTACATTTTAGACCATAAGATCATAAGACGTAGAAGCAGGATTAGGCCATTCGGCCCGTCGAGCCTGCCCCGCCAATTAATAAAATCATGGCTGATATTCTAACCTAATTCCATTTACCCACCATATCCCCATATTCCTTAATCCCTCTATCCTTTAGAAATCTATCAATCTCTTTAGGAAGGATGTCAAGGCTTTGGAGAGGGTGCAAAGGAGATTTACCAGGATAGTACCAGGAATGAGAGACTTCAGTTATGAGGAGAAGCTAGAGAAACTGGGATTATTCTCCTTGGAGGAGAGATTAAGGGGAGACTTAATAGAAGTTTTCAAAATTATGAGTGGATTCAATAGGGTGAACAAGGAGAAAATATTTCCACTGGCAGGTGGGTTGGTAACCCGAGGACACCGATTTAAAATAGTTGTTAGAAGAAACAGAGAGGATGTGAGGTGGCATTTTTTCACACAGCGAGTTGTTCTGATCTGGAATGCATTGACTGAAAGGGTGGTGGAAGCCAATTCGAAAACAACTTTTAAGAGAGAAGTAGATGATTATTTGGCAAATGACAAGTTTACGAGTGGGTGGGGGGTGGGGCGGGGAAGGGGATGGGATTGAATTGGATAGCTCTTTTCAAAGACACAATAGGGCAAATGGCCTCCTTCTGTGCTGTATGATTCTATGAAGCTAAGCACTGGCAAAAACATGATGGGCCGAATGGCCTCCTTCTGCGCTATATAGTTCTATGATATATTTTGACAACACCCGAAATTAAGTCAGAGTTGTAATACATAACATGCTGGCATTTACGATTTAAGCAGAGTTGTGAGCTGACACAAAAGTTTGTTACAAATCCCTCTAACAGCGTATGAATGGTGCAAAAAAAGGATTTTTCAAGAAGCGAGAGAGTGAAGCTATTAACTAATGCTTGTATTAGTGCTTTTTTGCATTGTGTTTAAGGAGAGGAGAATCTCCCAAAGAACAGGATGTTGTGAGTTTTGTTGTGGCTGATGAAAAACAGGAATGGATGGTCAGCCACAAATTCCATTGTAATCATTAGACACATTAACCTCATAGTAACTGCTGTGGCAGCTGCTGCTTCTGTACCTTCTTCGTTAACATCAGCAAAGGTTTTGTGAACAACTTTTGACAAATTCAGGTCATTTTTCTCAGTCATTCCCGAGAAATTTGCTTTCGAAACATCAAAAACATCAACCATTCTCATACCACCAAGTGTTGAGGTGAAGCCATAGGTGTTCTCCATCTTAAATTTAGGGAGCATTACAATCTCATCATTATCCATTTTGTATGGATTGGTCCAGTCTAACAGCTTATCAGGCCGTTTTGAGCTTAAAAAAGGGGGAAAAGGGGTTAAAACAGCTTATTATTGGCTGAAACATCAGCTAAAAGTTAGGACACTGTTGCAAGCATTCCATGTAGCTTTTGGCACCACATTTTACAGAAGCAATAGAGGAGAAGCACAAGATTGAAAGGATATAGTTTGTAGTTTTGTGGTGAGACATAAAAAGATGGGACTGTTTCCTCTGAAGCTGAGAAAGGAATCTAATGGTCTCACATAATAAGATATTGAAGCAAAGAACATAACAGTATTTAAAAAGATATTTATAACCTTTATTTTAAACATAGGTTAAGGATATAGAGTAGGGAAACAAGATAGATAGGATTTCATTGGGGTGAAACAGATAACAGGACTGGCGTTTGAATTTATTATTTTTTGGTCAAGACTGTATTTATTTTCCCAAAATGAATCCATTTAACAGTGGGATTATTTCAAAAAACTTCAACTTACTTTTTCCAGTCCACTTGCATCATCTTTTAGAACTGGCAACATGATGATCATACTCAGTTCTTTCTGAACATAGCGAGCTCAACTGCATGAATGTAAGTGGTTTTAAACTTGTCCGTCTGGTGCATCATTTGGACTGGCTTGGTTTCATTCTGCAAACAGGAGACAAAACTATCAGCGATTCTAAATTAACCTGCAGAGAACACAGGAAACGATTTATGGGGAAATTCATTGGGCAAGCTGACTGCTTGCATCAGGTGTGAATTGTTCTTCACAGAGTAAGGCTCCAAACATTTAAGTAGCTGGAAAACTAAGGTATCATTTAATTTTTTGAGATAGAAAATGGATCTGAATTGCTGTGATTCGTAATTGAATTCAGAAATTCCAACTACAAATTACACTTAACATTTCTTCCCAGTAACCAAATGAACATGATCTTGCAGTGGAAACTCCACTCTCAAGTAGCTCTCATCAGAGCAAAGTTCCTATGGGTTGGAATATTGCAATTTACATGGAATGTACAGCATGGAAACAGATCATTTGGTCTAACTAGTTCATGACGGTGTTTATGCTCCACATGAGTTTCCATCCACTTCTTACTCCCTTCCACACTATGGACAGGTAACCACCACGTCACAAGCCCTAACTTCAATAATAAAAAGAACAACACTGATCCCAATTACTAGTCGGCTGGGGAAGGGAAGCAAAGAAAATTGAGCTTGCCTAAATTCATATATATGAGCAGTTTGTATTGTGTCTTCAATGTAGGCCAGTGCGCTATAGAAGGCTTCGAAAAGCATACAACTAGATTATTCATACATCTCCAAGCATTACATCTTACAATTTATCTTGCTGATTTTGAAAGGTTGCTCATGGGTGCTTTCAGCTTCAAACTTCCTCTCCCAGTTGCCTTTAAAATAAATGGCATTGACGAGGACAAGCTTTGTGAGACTGCCAATAGCATTTGGGGCCAACAAGTCCTTGATCTTATCCGTGGGCATGTTTAAAAAAACACAAGAATCAGAATCCATGGAATACAGAACATAAAACGATGAAGTGGAATCAAGCACATTCAGTTACATCATTTATGATTGACAGCTTTAAGTATCCTCTCCAGAAGGTGTGTAGTATATTAGCTCTTTTAGTAGTAACTTACAAGCATTCACCCACAAAGTACACAGTCACTACACTTTACATTAATGTGAAACGCTTTGAGATGTCTTAACGACATGACAAGGTGCTATATCAAATGCAAGGATTATTATTATTCACATTTTTGTCTGTGGGTTGAAGCAGTGATGTCAGGTGACATTCCCTCACAAGTTGCTCACAAGGCTGGGGTGATTTTCTTCTCTTCCCATTTTTAAAGACCTATGTACATTCCTTATTTGCATATTCATCATTTCTAGGCTGGAATATTCACGGATCTCCCCAGCTCCTTCTATGCATACAATATGGAATACTGCAGCTCATGTGCTTCTCTACACCAGGCTGTGGAAGTCTATCCCATCCATCCTATCTCGGCTCACTCGCTTCCTATTCCCCAGCTGACCAAAATCAAGATCCCTGTCCTTGCTCTTAAATCCCTCCAAAGTTTCCCTCCAACTACCATTCCTCTGCGACCTCCATCAACTCTACCTACCAACCCAACAGCTCCCTTCGCTTAGTTAAGGCTGACTTGCTTTAATGTCCCCCGCTCTATCCATCCCTATCTACTCCACCATTGGTGGTGGAAATTTTACCCATTCTGCCCAGCTCTCTATAAATCTGTGAAGCACTTTGGGACATCCTCCAGACGTCAAAGGCTCTATACTAATGCAATTTTGTTGTTGTCCTCCTGACATGAGCGGTGCTATATCAATGTAAATTTGTTGTTGTTGCTACTGTAAGGAGAAGGGTGTTTTCTCTCTTCCATTTTGAATTCCTATCATAAAAGTTTTCTTAAAAGAAAACGTAATGAAATGTGCCTGACTCTATTTTATCTGGGCTTGATTGTCTGGTGCCAATGCCTAGGAATATTGGCACAATAGCTTGATACATTTGGCCAGTGAATGACTGATTGTGTGACACAAATGCATTAGATTGCTCGCTGATGGGAAAGTGAGCCATTCATATATTGTTTGTATTACCTAAATATTTCAGAGTTGCTTACCCTCAGTCTGTGCCTCTGCCCAAGCGTTGATCTGCTGTCTGATTTCATCTGACTCATTGCAAAAATCAACTGCTGCGAGTTCAGCTTGATAGAATTTCAGAGTGGATTCAAGGAAATCCTAAGGTATTGGAAGTAGAAGGTGAAGAATTAAAGCTTTTTCCCCTCCTGGAATTGTGGTGCAGATATAGCATATACTCTACCTAAGAAAATTGCATTATAGATATTAATTACACAAATAGAACAGAGATAATATTTCTACCCTTCACAAGAGGAGAAAATGGGCAATTGCATTCCACCCACTCGGATTATAATCGCTGGTTCAAGGAAGCCCCAAACTATTATATTGTACTCAGGGCTGGTGTGGGTCTACATGCCAGTCACAACTTGATATAACAACAAAATTACATTTGCATAGCGGCTTTCACATCAAGAGCATGTCCCAAGGCACTGGACAGACAGAGTTTTGGACCAGAGCTGGAGTTCGGGATTGGGGAGGGTGGAAGGCAGGTGGGCGAAGCAGGGAGATCAAATGAAGAGGAGGGTATTGAGATGGCCTTTGAAGGAGGCAAGGGAAGGGTCGAGGTGGAGGGACTGCAGGATGCAGTTCCAGAGGGTAGGGGAAGAAGGCCCACATGACAATAGTGGGGAGATCGAGATGGGTGACGTGAAGCAGGCCGGAGCCCGTTGAGCAGAGGGAATGAGCAAGTTGGTTGGAGGTGGCAGAGGTAGGGGGGAGCAAGACCATAGAGGGCTTTGAAGCTGAGGACCAGAATCTTGAACTATATCCTCTGTGTGATGGGAAGACATTGGAGTTGGCCGAGGATGTGGGCTGATAGGGTCTAGCAGCATGGTGTGGGAGAGAATGTGGGCTGCAGAATTCTGACCTGAAGCCTGTGCAGGGAGGAGTTGGGGAGGCCGATGAGCAATGGGTTAGTATAGTGAAGCCTCGATGCAATGAAGGCATGTATGAGGGTTTTGGCGGACTGCAGTGTGAAAGAGTGGCGGGGGCCGGTCAATGTTGCAGAGGTGGGGGAAGACAGAGCAGATCATGGCACAGATGTGGAATAGAAAGGATAGTTGAGGGTGAAAGAAGATGCCAAGGTTCCAGACTGCCTTAGTAAGGTGGAGTGTGCAAGCATGGATGGTGATGCTGTCAGCATCTGAGGTGAGGAGGCGCTGATGGGAGCCTATCAGGAAAGCCTTCTTCAACTGAAGAAAATTAACTCTCACCAGGACTTGATGTTCGACAGACATTCTGTCAGGACAGCAGTGGTCCTGGAGTCAAGGGTGGAGGCAGAGGGGTAGAGTGTCATCCACATACATGTGGAAGTTGACTCCATGTCTATGGTTGATGTGACCAAGTTGGAGCATACAGATATTGAAGAGGAGGGGACCAAGGACAGAGCCCTAAGGAATGCTACATGAGATGGTGCAGGGGCCTGGAGGAGAAACCGTTTGTGGAGATGAAGTTGAGGTGGTGTGAAAGGTACGATCTGAACCAGTCAAGGACAGAGCCATGAAGTTTGAGGGGAAAGGCGGTGGATGAGGATAGACTGGTTGAAGGTTTCGAAGGCAGCAGAGAAGTCAAGAAGGACGAGGAAGCAAGGGATCCCTGGTCGCAGATGGACAGAATGTCATTTGTCACTTTGACCAGGGTTGTTTCTGAGCGATGAGCGGCAGGGAAACCTGATTAGGTTTCATGAAAAATGTGATGCGAGAGGAAGCAGCAAAGCTGGGAAGCAACAACTTGTTCCAGGAGCTCGGAGAGGAAAGGGAAGTTGGAGATGAGGCGATCATTTGAGAGCAGATATGGGTCCAGGGAGGGTGCTTAAAGGATAGGAGTGATGACAGCGTTTTTTAATGGGGTGGCAACAGTACTAGTGGACAGGGAGAGGTTAATGATTTCTGTGAGTAGAGAGGCAAGAAGGTTGAGCTGGGAAGTAAGGAGAGGAGTAGGGATGGGGTCGAAGGAACAGGTGGTCGGTTCCATCCGGGTTATAGTGGTGATGAGAGAGGAATGGGAAACAGGTTCGAAGGTGTGGAGGGAGGGAGGTGTGTAGGGGCTGGGGTAAGAGGTGGAGATGGTGAGGGTGCAGCAGCTGGAAGGGTAGAGGCATCTGAGCGGATCCTCTCAACTTTGGATTCGAGGAAGTCCAGCATCACCTTACAGTTGGCATTTGAAGTCAGGATAGGCGAGACGTGAGATGATGGGTGCAGGAGCTGGTTGGTGATGGAGAAGAGGAGCCTGGATTGTCCTTGGCCTCCAAAATTGTCTTGGGAGTAGAAAGGGTTAAGATTTGATAAGATCCAGCCAGGTCTGCCAATGGACCGTTAAGTTTGATTTAAGCCAGGTGCATTCAGTGGCACACACCTGTGCTTTAAGGGCGATGGCTGGTGCATTATGGTGACTTACATGAATAGGAGATGGTATGAGAGGAGAAGGGAGCAAGGGAATCAAGAGTGGAGAAGAGGGAGCTGTGGAGCAGAGTGACTGAGGAGGATAGGTCATTGCGGGAGGAAGCCCAGAGGGGAAGGAGTTCAGATAATTCCAGGGCAGCCGAGAGGGAGGGGACGGAGATTTTTCCTGGGGTGGAAGGAGATGGAGGTGGGTTAGATGGTGGTGGGAGGTGGAATTGACTAGCGCCTTTCATGTCAGATGGACGTTGGCAGTAATAAGAAGGTGAAAGGTGAGAAAGTGATGGCCAAAGGAGAGAAAGTGGCGGAGAATGGGAAGAAAGCTACTGTGAAGGAAAGTGAGAAAGCAGCAGAGAAAAGAGAAAGCTGATGTGAAGAATGGGAAAGCGGCCGCGGGGAGCAGAGCGGCTACAGAGGATGGAGCGATGGTGAGCGGAGCGGGAAACCAACCCTTGCGACTGAGGAGGGCAGAGGAATTAGGAGAGAGTGGATTGGAGCCACAGGACAGGGTAAGCCTAAGAGCCTGGAAGTGAGGGATGATGGACGTGGGGTGGGACAGGAGCAGCAACTGCACTGGAAGCAGCAGCTCCCTCTACGAGTGCTTCTGTACTCGATCCTCTTCAAGGTCCTGGACAGGGTAGAGTATAATATGGACAGGACGGCCTTCATCAAGAGGGTTTGATGGAGGCTGTGGCAAACTGAAAGAAAGCAGTGGAGTGAGGCATAATGACGAGCCATTCGGTAAGTGAGGGATGGCAGAGCTGGGACTAGCCTAAAAGTGTAAGATCTCCCTGCAAATAAAGGCAGCAGATCCTAGAAAGAGGAAGCCCTGGTCCCTCCAGTTAAGGAAAGTGTGAAGAAATAGGGGCTGCCATAAGGAGACGGAGTTGTTGCACGTTGTAATGGGATCGAAGCAGTTGCGGTTTCTCTAGTATATTTGTTGTTAGATATGTTCTTCATGAGGCAAATGGAATATATTTTTTATATGATCATAAATATATTTGTTTAAAAATAAACAAGAGGACAGGGTTTTTGCAGATTGGAATGGGGTTGAAGCAGTTTTGCATCTTTTCTTTTTTAAGTCACGGATGTGTTTTTTCATGAGGAAAGTGGAATATACATGAAGTCCTGTAGCTGAGTGGTTAGAGCACTTGACTCGTGGACCTGGGTTTGATTCCTAGCAGGGAGAAACGTTGGGCAAGTTTGCTTACTCCAAGTGCCTCGATTTACCTAGCAGTAAGTAGGAACCCAGTTGTTAGTCGATGGGCAGATCGCTTTTCCAGGATAATAATTCCTTCAAAAAAATAATAATAATTTGGTCACTCAATCCACAACTGTTTGTGCTACACTGCCATGTGCAATTGGCTGCCTCATTTTTCCCACAAAATACAGTCAATTCACTTCATAGCATATTTTGTGAAGCACTTTGAGACGTCTCGAAGACGTGATTAAGCGCTATATCAAATTCACGAATTATACCATATATATTTTTATACTAATAATTATTTTTATTTATTTTTAATTGAAATAACTACTTAATACAACAGTATTGTGGATTGAGAATCGTTATAAGGGACATAAGAGATGAAAAATAAATGTTAGGCTTGACCACTCATGAAATATCACTTCAGTTCTTTTAGTTTTTACTAAACTGGTAATCACCACGAAAGGAACTCCAAGGGGCTTATAACCTGAATACAAATAGCAGTTCATGATTTTCTCCAAGAACCAGAGCTGGGAGTGAAGGTTCAATGAATCCATACATCTGCCATCCTTTTGTTATTTGCAGAACATCTGATCTGGCCCCAGTTTTGTATATTATTATGATTTAAAGATCAGATCAGTAAATCTATTAGTTAAAGTATTCCTACTCTCACTTATGGAAAATCCTTTAAGCACCCAGATACCGCTTAACCTGTGTGAAGGGCACTATATAAATGCAAGGTGTTGTTCAAGTTTTGTTAAATTACTGAGATTAATGCAGCAATTATAGAATCAGTTAATAGAAATAAAGAACTTTCATTTAATAATTGTATTGCATTGAAATATTTCAGCTAATATCTTTCAATTGTAGAAAGCTACAGTATTGAGGTAGGCAGATACTTGTATGGTGTTAAATTGATTAAGAGATACACATTACAATGGTAAGGAAATTTAATAAGAGTACAGCTGCAAAGATATTACGGATGCAACGTTCAATTGTACAAGTTTGAAAATGTGGAGTGAAACAGTGCTCTCTGGTGACAATCAAGTGGACATTGGGTTGAATTGGTAAAGTTTCATGATATAGCTTTCATGCACAAGAGGAATAAGAAACTTCAATAACGCCTCCAGGTTTGTAAAGCCCAGACCAGTATCCAAAGATTTTGAAACTATTATTGGGGTGTGAATGTTTTCCAGATTTGCTTGAATTTGTTGGTCAGGTCCCTTGCTCCTTCAACAACAACAACTCACATTTATACAGTGCCCTCCACGCAAGCTGACGTTTCAGAGGGCTTAACAGCGGCAGAGCCTGACTCCGAGCCGGGTGGGGGGTGGGGATGGGACTTGAAAAGGGAGAGAGAGTGGGCAAGGCGTAGGGATTGAGGGAGAGTGTTCCAGAGTTTCGGGGTGTAGTAGCTGAATACGTGTCCGCCAATGGTGGAGCGGAGGGTCAACAGACTGGAATATTGGGACAAGCAGGAGGCCAGTGCCAGTCAACAATTTAAACAATTTTGTAGGTGAAATATGGCTTTGAGACCAATTTTATTAAGTTCCAAACAACTGGAAAACCAAATTGACCTGATAACCCAACTTACAATGTTGGTAACAACTGCAAGATTGAAGTTGTGCCAAGTTACTGACAACAGGCACAACTGTCATTACCTTTTGTATAATCAGTTCAATTTTATATATAAAAAAAACACAACGACTCCCAGCCCTGGTCTCTACCCATGAATCCATGAGACATGAAGGAGACAAGACTTGAGCTCAGCTTGGGAGGAATTGCACACCAACACACATTAGCAAATGAATTACTTAAGGCAAGGATGATGGAACCAAACCCCAGCAGCGATCACGGACTTGTACCGTGTTGTAAATAAAGAACAGCAGCCGTGCGGGGAGGGCAGTGCAGGAGCTCAGCTCAGCGCCAGTGTGTGGAGTGGAAAGGAAAAGCTGAGAGGTCAAGTAGTAAGAAAGGCAGTCCCTGCAGCCCCACCTGTGCACACACTGACTCCAGCCGCTGTGCACACACTCCTCGCGCTGCGCTCAACTGTCTGTCACTCCGCCCCGGGATCCAGGGCTCCTTATACCGCCGGCCTGACGTCACCCGGGACCCCACGTGACACGGCCCTGCCCTACTTTGGACGGGTGCCTAATATTTATTGTTTTTTAATATGTTTCTTATGAAACCAAATTTATTACCTTTTTTAAATGAGTCTTTTCATGCCGTAAAATGTAATAATATTTCAAATAATAATAAATCATTGCATTAGATACAGTGTCTGCAATGGTGAAACATCTCAGCATTTCAAAAGCAATTGTGTCAAATGCTCTGAATCAATACAGTAACTGTGTAGATGATGGTCTGTAAAATACAGCAAAGAACCTTTGGCAGATACTTTTATTGTTGTGCATGTTTGTTGCAATTGTTAAGCAGAACTCTTCCACGCTGGGATTCATTTAATACCTATTTCACACGCTCGCGGCCCAAAGAGGAAACTCTGAAGCTTGGGGCGACAGCTACTGGAAGACATTACCTGGAGTCTGAGTTTGTGAACTCACGTTCGTACGTCCAGCGCCTGGAATCCACCTTGATTTGCCTGCAGAGAGACAAGCAGCTTGTGCTTAAACTCTGTACCTCCAACTGGTGGAACCATCGCTCAATGCGAAGGGATGAGAGCTGTGGTACAGTAGGATGGTGGCAATGCTCTCGCACATTCATACTGAGATACATTGCCAACCGGGAAGCTCGCAGGGAGTTCCTTGTACCTACCATCCACCCAGTGAGGTCTCGATCCCGCACTTGTCACATGTCGAATGGCCAACTAGTGACTATCCTCCTTGGAGGGAAGTAAGTGGGATCTTCTTGGAGCTGAACTGCAATGGAATGTCAGAATTGAGCCAACCCTCTGGCGGTCTCTATTCCGGTTCCTGATCCAGATCAGTTTATGGTATTCCAGGGCGCTGCTGATTATAGCCCAGCCAGGAAGGCGCATCAGCAGGATTTGGAAGAGCCGACCAGTCGCTGGGGCAGGTCTTAGGTTGATTTTGAAATCGTATTATAGAAGGTTGTAGTCAAGGAAACTATATATATATATATCTATCAATATTCGCCATGTATGTAACAATAAGACTGTAGCACCAAGGTAAGATAGAAACTGTGAGAAGCTGCTACAAATGTTCATTTTGACAAGGAATAAAATGTCAGGAATCTGCTCGATAAGCTGTTTTAGCTCTAAAGGTTAACTGTCATTTAGTTGCAATGGAAGGAGCAAGATAAGACATGGGTTTCGAGAGAGGAATGGGCTGTCATGAGTAGCACCTGTTATACTCTAGATTTCTCAATACAAGAAGAGATTGCCTCGCCCTGATAAGATGGAAAATGGGTATACCTTTCCACATACCTAAGCAAAGCAACCCAGTCCTGTTTAAACACATGTCAGTCCACCTAATTGTTTCTACCATTCAGGGCTTAGACACCGATTTTTGAAGGAGAAAAACAAGCTGTCACACGCTGATAAATAATGAGCAGGCTGCTTTTACTCAGGGACCCCAGTTGTCTGCAAAGAACAGATAAGATACTAACACATGTAAGGCATACGTGGCAGACCCCTGATTGGGGGATCTAAGGGGAAGACAGTGGGGCAAATAGTCTAACTATCCTAACTTTAGGCAAGTAAATTAGCAGTTCCAGCGGAGAGAAGAAGTGTTGAAATCCATGCAACTTACTGGTCCGATCCAGTAGTATATGTTTTGTTACTTGTAGGGGCATTAGTATTTTACTTGTTTTGTATTGTTACTTTGGTTGATAAAACTTCTATTCCACCTTTATTGGATTGTCAGGTCATTATTCGAACCTGTGTGCAATTGGCTGCCGCGATGCCCCCACAAAATACACAATCAATTCACTTTACAGCGTATTTTGTCAAGCAATTTGAGACATCTTGAAGACATGATCAAGCGCTATATCAAACTCACAAATTATATTATACATATTTTTATACTAATAATTATTTTTATTTATTTTTAAATGAAAGAACTACATATTACAACAGTGTTGTGGATTGAGAAATGTTACAAGGGACATAAGAGTTGGAAAATAAATGTTAGGCTTGACCAATCATGAAATATCACTTCAGTTCTCTTAGTTTTCATTAAACTGGTATCGGCAGGGAAAGGAACTCCAAGGGGCTGTTGCTTATAACCTGAATATAAATAGCAGTTCACAATTTACCGCAAGAACCAGAGCTGGGAGTGGTGTTTCACTGAATCCATACATCTGCCATCCTACTGTGGACCATCTGATCTGGTTCCAGTTTTGTACATTCTTATGATTCAAAGACCAGATCAGTAAATCTATTAGATAAAGTATTCTTTATCGAGTCCTGTAGCTCAGTGGTTAGAGCACTCACTTTGCAAGCGAGAGACTTGAGTTCAATTCCAGGCAGGGCGAAACCTTGGGCAAGTTTCCTTACTCCACACGCCTAATAATAATCCCTCCAAAACCCAAAACAATAATAGATTGGTCATTTTCAATCTACGACTGTTTGTGGGACATTGCTGTGCGCAATTGGCTGCCGCTTTCGCCCACAAATATACAGTCAATTCACTTTACAGTGTGTTCTGTGAAACGCTTTGGGACGTCCTCCCGACGTGAAAAGCGCTATATCAAATGCAAGGATTATTATTATTCCTACTATCAGTTATGGGAGATCCCTTAAGCACTCAGACACCGCTTATCCTTTGTGAAGTGTCCTATATAAATGCACAATGTTGTTCAAGTTTTCATAAATTACTGAGATTAATGCAGCAATTATTTACTCCTTGGAGAAATCTAGTTAATAGAATCAGTTAATAGAAATAAAGAACTTTCATTTAGTAATTGTATCGGATTGAAACAGCTAATATCTTTCAAGTGCAGAAAGCTAAATTATTGAGGTAGGCAGATACTTGTATGGTGTTGAATTGATTGAGAGATATATATTACAATGGTAAGGAAATTTAATAAGAGTACAGCTGCAAAGATATTGTGAATGCAAGGTTCAATTGTACAAGTTTGAAAATATGGAGTAAAACTGTGCTCTCCGGTGCAATCAAGTGGACATTGGGTTCAACTGGTAAAGTTTTGTGATATAGCTTTCATGCACAAGAGGAATAAGAAACCTCTATAACATCTCCAGGTTTGTAAAGCCCAGGCCAGTATCCAAATACTTTGAAACTATTATTGGGATGTGAATTTTTTCCAGATTTGCTTGAATTTGTTGGTCAGGTCCCTTGCTCCGTTAACTCACATTTATAGCTAGCGTTCCAGAAGGCTTAACAGTTGCAGAGCCTGACTTGGAGCCCGGTGGGGGTGGGTGAGAGGTGGGACTTGAAAAGGGGGAGAGAGGGGGCAAGGCGGAGGGATTGAGGGAGAGGGTTCCAGAGTTTCGGGGTGTAGTAGATGAATGATAACATCGGTTGGGTTCTTCCTCCTCCCCACACCCATGTTTCCTAGCACCCTTCCCTTGCTTTCCACACCATCTAATCCTTCTGCCACAACTCCTATCACTGCCCCCACCCTACTCTCCTTTGTCCCTGTCTCCTTTTCCTCTGTCTCAACCATCAACACCAGCACCTGCTGTCTCAACACCCCCCACTCTGCTCCCTGCCGGCTGACACAGTCAACCAGTTCCACTCCTCAGCAAAACTGCTGTCATCATTCCTCCTCAAAAAAAACACTCTCTATCCCTTGAACCTTGTTAACTTCCGGATGATTTCCAACTTGCCTTTCATTGCTAAAGTTTTGGGACGCAAGTCCTGGATGAGAGTCAACTTTCTTCAGTTGAAATTCAACAAGACCGAGGCCTTCCTGATTTTCTATCATCAGAGCATCCACACCTCAGTCAACGACAGCATCACCATCCAAGGACGCAAACTCCATTGTAATCTTTTGATACATTAATCTCATATTGTAGTGAATTTCCCATCAATCCTTACATTGATCTTCAAACTGGAATTTACACCAAAGATATTAGCCACGTCGGCCCATAGCTTACAACTTCTTCACGAGGCATTAAGTTTGAAAGCCTTATGGAAATTGACAAACACAATGTAAATGGGTTTTCTGAGATCCTTATAAGGTTCTGTGATCTTGCATAAGCTACAACCTGCCCCACACTGCTCACAATAAAGGAAACATTAAGGTGTATGGAGGGAGTTGAAAAGTGGGATTGCTTTTTTTAGAAAAAAGATAGTATTGGCACAGACACTATTGGCTAATGGCATCTTTCTGGCCAGAACACGAATATGTTTCTATGTAAGACTAGTCTTCCATAGAATCCTGAGAGCAGTTTGCCCATCTGTTTAGACAAGTGATCTGTGGTATGGATATTATCTAGGAGATTAAAAAAGATTGAAAGAGGCAAGATGGGATGCATTTATTTTGATTTCCTGATTTATAATTTTCAAAATATTTTGACATATTTGGTGCAACACAAGTTTTAAAATCTATTTACAATTAACAACAATTGCAAGTTTTATATACTGACTATAATTTCCTTAAAAAAATGATTATCATGTAATAAACTTGAATCTTTCTATATAAACACCGTCACATATCAACTACATGGAACACACTGGCCATTGTTGTTCCCAACGGGTTAAATAATACACAACTTTAAAAGTATAAATCTTTATTGGAATCACATCGTGGCTATCTGGAGGGTGATGTGAAGGCCTAAAATCATGTGATTGTTAAGGTAATGGTATAAACAGCTATAGTTTTGTTCTTATGATCAAAAAATGTCCACCTGGCCTTTACAATGATATTACTGTCTTGGCATTATTCCTGAGCATCCATTATTCTTCAGTCATATTTTAACAAATGTATTATCAAAATCACAAAAGTCCTTCCCACACTCTATAATTCTATTTCAATAGCATGTTCATTTGGTTCAGGTTTCACTGAAATTTGGATTGTTTTCTCAACAGGAATTTCATACTGTCAGTTTATGGATATGCTTTTTCCGGGCTGCATAGTTCTGAAGAAAGTCAAATTCCAAGCAAAGCTGGAGCATGAATATATCCATAATTTTAAAGTCCTACGGGCAGCCTTCAAGAAAATGAATGTTGATAAAGTATGTACTCTTCTTGAAAAAAAAACTGTTATGTTTTTATAAAAGAGAACATTTGGATTACTACTTGCTCTGTTTTGTTTTCCGATTTCATTTACTAAAAATAGGGAGAAAAATTCCAGATCCATAACGTTTCTTTTGGGGAACGATATTAGCCTTTGGACACACGGTATATGGAGAAGTAATTGTAGAACTGTATATTCTGAGCAATTCCAGTATCTTCATTTCCAATCTCAAGAGGAATAGATTGTCAATGAATTAGTGAAGGTGCACATCACATAAAACACATTTTTAAATTACTTTTGGATCTAAATAATTTAGTAAAATTGGATATCCTGAGATTCTACAGCATTTTGTTAATCAGTAACAAAGTTACTAAAAATACAGCAAACTTCCATTCCTGTAGCTCAGTGGTTAGAGCACTCGCCTCGCAAGCGAAAGACCTGGGTTCGATTCCTGGCAGGGCGAAACCTTGGGCAAGTTTCCTTACCCCACATGCCTGATAATAATCCCTCAAGAAAAAAAATAATAGTAATTTGGTC